CCCCCCCCCCCCCCCCCCCGCCGACACCATCACACCCTCTGGGTCCTCCTGCAGCTGCGGGGCCGCTACCGGGCCAGATGGAGCAAACTCAGGTTCTGGCCCTTTGGCTCCTCTGTGGGAGGTTTTCATGAGGGCTCCTGGGGTCCCGAATACCGTGCCCAGAGGGAGACCAGGAATACAACCCTGCCACCAGCTTCAGGTCTGCGTGGTCCCACCGTGCCATCTGATCTCCAGCATGGGGAACACGTCCCGTCTCTGACATCCCAAGGAAGGGGGCTCAGAGGACCCAGCAGCCCAGATCGCAGGCTGTCTCCTGCCCCTGCCGGCCCCGACAGGGGCAGCCACTGTCCAAGCATCTGGCCCCAGGCGCCCTACCCGTGAAATTACACCTACCCACCCTGGGGTTGGGAGGGCAGGTGGGTAGAGGATACCCGGCAGAAAACATGAGCTCCCCCCAAAAGAGGTGAGTTAATATTCAATCTTCAGCCGGGACAGGCGCCCCATCCGTCCATTCCCGCCCTTCCTCAGTGATTTCCTAGACTGAGCCGCAGATGTGTTTATGGCACTTCTTAACTGAAAAGTGAGCTCAGCTAGTACTGACCATAATCAAGTACTAATTGTAGGAGCCGGCGCTTAGGGGCATGTCCGCCAGGCCCCGGCCCGTTTCCCAGGTCGGAGGGCGGCACGCAGTCGCCGTGCTGCTGGTAAGTGGCTGACCCGGGACCCCGCAGCCCGGCCCGTCTCCACCAGCTACCTGTCAGCCGGCCACCGAGGGGCTGCCTCCCACTAGGTAACCCCAGCGCCAGGACAGCGAGCACCCGTGTCCCCACCAGAACTGACTCAGGAACAGGAGTGCCACGGACAAGGGCTGGAGGAGGAGGAGACGGACACGGGTGGGCTCGCGGGCCCCAAGCCCTGTGCGGCTGCTGTCCCGAGTGGGTGCCGGTGCGGGGCCTCGCCTGGGAAGGGTCTCCCAGAGCCGCCCTCTCCCACAGAGCCCGGAGCAGGCTGTCCCGGAGGCCGCAGCCTCCCCGCACGGACGCTACCATGAGAGGACAGGAATGCCCAGCACAAGCGCTGAGAAGGTGTGCAAACAGGCGGGGTGGGCACACAGGCCGCAGGGGCAGAAACACTCCTGTTCCTCCACTCGCCTGGGGCGCATTGCCTGACCTGGGGCAGCCTTAGCTTTTACGTCTGTAAAATGGGATCCTGACTAACACCAGGGCTCTGGGGCTTGTGTGACACCAGGCAAAGAGAAACCGTCCCACCAAGGCCATGTCCTCTGCAAGAAGCACTACTCCTGCCCTGGGGTCTCGAAATCCCTCCCCCTCACCCCCTGCCTGGTCTCCCGGGGACCCCACTGGGCTTTCATCCTGACCTGACTGCATGTGGTCTCTTCAATGGGAAACCGAGCATAAGAATAAGAAAGTGCCTACAGTATAAAATGTGTGCAAATTTATGCAAAATTTTGGGGTTGGGGGGGGCCTCACTCCACCGGAGCATCTGACTTCAGCTGAGGTCATAATCTCACGGTTTGTGAGTTCAAGCCCCACGTCGGGCTCTGTGCTGACAGTTCAGAGCCCGGAACCAGCTTCCGATTCTGCGTCTCCCTCTCTCTGCCCTCTCCCTCTCATGTTCTCTCTCTCTCTCTGCCCCTTCCCCACTCACACTCTGTGTCTCTCTCAAGAATAAACATTAAAAAAAATTTTTTTAATTGTGTAAAATAGACTGACACTTACATAGAGTCTGGGAAGAAGTACACCAAAATGCGTCACCTTGCCTCAGTGATGCTGTTTTGGTGGTCCCTTCCACGGTGTTCCGTGTTCTCACTGCTTCGGTAAGAAAGAAGGGAAAACTGCAAAGGAGAAAGAAATATAAATCAGAGGCAAATGGATGGTTTTCTTCTCCTGGCCCACAGTCATCTCCCAAGTACTTGGTGGTGGGGGGGCCCCACAGTCACGGCGGCACAGAGCTTCAGACACCCATAAGCCTTGCTGGGGCCAGGATCGGGCTCCTCAGGAAGGGCCCCTCCTGTCCCCGCAGGCCTTCCTCTGCGCGCCCAGGACAGGGGGTTCCAGGTTTGCAGGGGGCCCTGTGAGGCCCTCTGGGGGCTGTTCCAAGGTCTCAAGCCAGCTCTGGCGCCAGCCAGACCATCTGCCCTGGCCAGGACCCCGTCCACCCTGCCCTGCTGTCAGAATGTCGACGTTTCTCCACACCTTCTCTTTCTTTTTCGCCATCATCAACAGTGATGCAACGAGTATGCTCACACAGAATGCAGCCTGGCCTTAAAGATGGGCACCCAAGGGAGGACAAAATCCAAATTGCACACCCCTACCCCCTTGACGCAGGCTGAAGCCCGAGCCGGGTGGCCCTGGGAGCTCTGGTGGTTCGCTGTTTTAAGCATCTCGGGTTGTGAGGATGAAAACCAGCCCACCCTGGCAGGCAGTGCGAAGTTTCGCATTTGGTCCCTCTCCCCCAGTCTCCAGAGCCCCACCAGAACCACAGGACTAAAAATAGCCACCACCACAAACAAACGAAAAGCACACCGAACGCTCCAGCATCGGGAGGGAATTCACAGATGGAAAACCCCAGGCCCAGAAATGGACAACATGGTACAAACAGAACCATGTCCGAACAGTGGCCGGCAGATCCCAAACTTCGCCCCGCAGTGGTCAGGCAGAAGGGCAGCCACAGTCCACCCACATAGCCAGAGAAGGCCCGGGACGCCCGCGGGTGTGGGCAGGTGGCAGGGCAGCCTGGGGCCCTGGCCGGTCGGAACGGACACGTGGGACCCGCACAGATTCCGATTCTCCTCCTGCCCAGTGAACCCTTCGCTCCAGATTCTCCGCCACATGACTGTGATCAACGATAAACAAACTTCGCCCTGGTATAATTTGGGTGATTCTCCTTTCCTTTT